GTTTATTTTTGAAAGAGAGAGAGAGAGGGTGCACGAGCGGGGGAGGGGCGGAGGGGGGGACAGGGGAGATAACAGCAGAAAGCCCGTTTGGGGGTCAAACTCAAGAACTGTGAGATTGTGACCTGAGCTGAAGTTGGACGCTCAACCAACTGAGCCACCCAGGCGCCCCGAGACTCCTGGGGCAGACAGTGACAGAATTGGGAGACACAACTGAGACAACACAGCAGGGTGCCCATGGCTGTCAGCTCTGGACTTCCCATCTCAGGGAATCAGGCTAACCAAGTGTAGGGATGGGTGCTGGAGATCCGGACGGGGGTAGACAGGGGATGTGTCAGCCCCAAAAGTGGGATTTGGGGTTGGAACTGGTCTTGACAAATGGCGGTAAGTCGCAGGGGAAGGCGTGGGGAGAGCATTCCAGATTGGGAGGAGGGCATGGTGTATGCAAGGGAGGGGCATTTGTGATGGAAGGAAGACACTTGGGGGAGGTTGACGCATCATTGTGGCAGGAGTTGACGGTCCCTGTAGGGGAGAAAATCAGAGGAATTTGCAAAGGCCAGCTGGGGCCAGTTTGTGGGGTGTCCTGAGAGGAAGGCTGAGGCATCTGGACAGCTCCCTGTGGGTTTTTGGAGCTGTCAGATTACAGGAAGAAAGCAAATGTCCCCGACTCTGGCTCCCCAACTTCTCCATAGTGTGTCTTCGCCACTAGTCACCTGCCTTTAACTGGGCAGGTGCAACAGAATTCCCAGCACGATGGCACTTTGCCCAAACATACTAACAAGCCCCACAGTGACAGCTGCCACCAACCCCCCCTCCCCTCTCCCCGGCCCTTGCTCCCACCAGCGTCTCTAAGCAAAGGGTTTCCTCGGGGTGGGCGCTGAGGGTGTTGTTGGCGGCTGGGTGCAGGAGCGTCTAAAAGCCCCACCGAACTGGCTTTGTGTGCTCGGAGGCAAATCAGACCCAGACAAAACGTCCAGAAGAAACAGATCGGCTCCACAATGGAGCGCTGGCTGGTTGGGGCTGGAAACATAGGCATCCTCCTCCCCCTCCCCCACCCCCAGCCCTGGAAAGAGGAGACCCTCTGTGCACACATTATTCCCTGGGTGGGGAAGTGGGAAGCAGCGTACCTGCAGCCACCTTTCTCTTGGGATCGCAGTGATTTATTACAGGTTCCCTCCCCCCATCCTTCCCTGCACTCAGAAGGCATCCAGTGCTTCCAACAGCCTTGGGCACCTCTGTTCTCTGGCAGAACAGCCGTCACCCCTTGGCAGGTCTGTCTCAGCCGCGCCGGCCGGGAAAGCCAGCATGAGGTCGTATCATTAGGAGTTTGCACAGGGATCCCGTTAAAAACAATTTTCAATTCTCTCTGATCTCTGCCCAATCACAGGGCAATGGACTCCTGGAATCCTTGGCTGAAGGCGCCCCCCCCATATCCTGCCCCCCCCCCCCAGGCCAGTCCACAATCCATTGCACTGCTGTCTTCCCCCACCTGTTCTTTTTCCGATTTTTTTCTATCAGTGTAAAATACACAGAACACAAAATGTATCACCTTAACCATATTTAAGAGTTCAGTTCAGCAGCATTAAGTGCACTTACAACGTTGGGCCACTGACCATCTCCAGAACTTTTTCATCTTGCATAACTGAAACTCTGTAGCCATGAAACCCTAACTCCCCATTTCCGCCTCCCCCACCTCCTGCCACCCAACAGTCCTACCTTCCGTCCCTATGATTTTGACTACTCTCAGCACCTCAGAAGTGGAATCACACGTTGTCTTTTTGTGATTGGCTTATTTCATTCAGCATAATGTCTTCAAGGTTCAGCTAGGTTGTAGCCGGTGTCAGAATCCTCTTCCTTTTGGGGCGCCTGGATGGCTTAGTCAGTTAGGCATTTGACTTTGGCTCAGGTCATGATCTTAGTTTGAGATCGAACCCCGCATCGGGCTGACAGTGCAGAGCCTGCTTGGAATTCTCTCTTTCTCTCTCTCTGCCTCTCCCTAACTCGCACTCTCTCTCAAAATAAATACATAAACTTAAAAAAAAAAAGAATTTTCGGGGTGCCTGGGCAGCTCAGTCAGTAAGCATCCGACTTCAACTCAGGTCATGATCTCAGGTTCGGGAGTTCGAGCCCCGCGTCGGGCTCTGTGCTGACAGCTCGGAGCCTGGAGCCTGCTTCAGATTCTGTGTCTCCCTCTCTCTCTCTGCTCCTCCCTCGCTCACACTCTCTCTCTCAAAAATAAATAAACGTTAAAAAAATTTTTTTTAGGGGCACCTGGGTGGCTCAGTCGGTTAAGCGACCGACTTTGGCTCAGGTCATGATCTCACGGTCAGTGAGTTCGAGCCCCGCGTCGGGCTCTGTGCTGACAGCTCAGAGCCTGGAGCCTGTTTCAGATTCTGTGTCTCCCTCTCTCTGACCCTCCCCCAGTCATGCTCTGTCTCTCTCTGTCTCAAAAATAAATAAACATTAAAAAAATTTTTTTTTCTAAGAATTTTCTTCCTTTTTAAAGACTGAATAATATTCCATTGCATGTATGCATTGCATTTTGTTTATATCCACAGATGGACACTAGGATTGCTTCCGCTTTTTACTACTCTGAATAATGGTGTTGTGAACGTGGATGCACAAACCTCTCTTCAAAAGTGTGCTTTGGGGTGTCTGCCTGGCTCAGTCGGTGGAGCTTGTGACTCTTGGTCTCGGGGTTGTGAGTTTGAGCCCCACGTGAGGTGTAGAGGTTACTTAAAAATAAAATCTTAATGCCCCTCCCCTGCTCGTGCTCTGTCTCTCTCTCTGTCTCTCAAAGATAAATAAATATTAAAAAATAAAATAAAATCTTAAAAAGAAACGGTGCTTTCAAATCTTTGGGAAGGAGAATTGCTGGATTCTATGGCAACTTTATCTGCTTAATAGAATTTATTAATTTTTCCAAGAGCCACCATACTGTTTTCTACAACAGCTGTGCCATTTTGCATTCCCATTGATAGAGCACAAGGGTTCCGGTTTCTCCACGTCCTTTCCAACAGTTGTTCCTTCCTGTTTCTTTTTTTTTTTAATTTTTTTTTCAACGTTTATTTATTTTTGGGACAGAGAGAGACAGAGCATGAACAGGGGAGGGGCAGAGAGAGAGGGAGACACAGAATCGGAAACAGGCTCCAGGCTCTGAACCATCAGCCCAGAGCCTGACGCGGGGCTCGAACTCCCGGACCGCGAGATCGTGACCTGGCTGAAGTCGGACGCTTAACCGACTGCGCCCCCCAGGCGCCCCTCCTTCCTGTTTCTTGATAGTCACCATCCTAATGGATGGGAGGCAGGACTTTACCATAGCTTTGCTTTGCATTTCCCCAGCGATTAGTGATGGGGAACATGTTTTCATGTGCTTCTTGGCTGTTTGTGTGTCTTCTTTGGAGAAATGTCTACACAAGTCCTTTGTCCAGTTTTGAATCAGGTTTTATTTTGTTATTGTAGGAGCTCTTTATATATTCTGGATATTAATCCCTTATCAGGTACACGATCTGCAAATATTTTCCCCCATTTTATGGGTTGTCTTTTTGCTCTGTT